CAGAAAAACACCGCCAAAGCATAATGTTTCCACCTCCATGTTTGACGGTGGGGATGGTGTTCTTGGGGTCATAGGCAGCATTCCTCCTCCTCCAAACACGGCGAGTTGAGTTGACCACAACACTTTCACCCAGTTGCCCTCTGAATCATTGAGATGTTCATTGGCAAACTTCAGACGGGCATGTATATGTGCTTTCTTGAGCAGGGGGACTTTGCGGGCGCTGCAGGATTTCAGTCCTTTACGGCGTAGTGTGTTACCAATTGTTTTCTTGGTGACTATGGTCCCAGCTGCCTTGAAATCATTGACAAGATCCTCCCGTGTAGTTCTGGGCTGATTCCTCACCGTTCTCATGATCATTGCAACTCCACGAGGTGAGATCTTGCATGGAGCCCCAGGCCGAGGGAGATTGACAGTTCTTTTTGTGTTTCTTCCATTTGCGAATAATCGCACCAACTGTTGTCACCTTCTCACCAAGCTGCTTGGCAATGGTCTTGTAGCCCATTCCAGCCTTGTGTAGGTCTACAATCTTGTCCCTGACATCCTTGGAGAGCTCTTTGGTCTTGGCCATGGTGGACAGTTTGGAATCTGATTGATTGCTCCTGTGGACAGGTGTCTTTTATACAGGTAACAAGCTGAGATTAGGAGCTCCTAATATCAGCTCGTTACCTGTATAAAAGACACCTGGGAGCCAGAAATCTTTCTGATTGAGAGGGGGTCAAATACTTATTTCCCTCATTAAAATACAAATCAATTTATACAATTTTTGACTTGCGTTTTTCTGGATTTTCTTGTTGTTGTTCTGTCTCTCACTGTTCAAATAAACCTACCATTAAAATTATAGACTGATCATTTTTTTGTCAGTGGGCAAACGTACAAAATCAGCAGGGGATCAAATACTTGTTTCCCTCACTGTAACTTCCCACTTTGAAAGTGATGTCATGATTTAGCATGTTCCCTTGGCTTTAGAAAAAAAAATCAAACACATTGCAGTTCGACGAGCACACGGGCGAGCGTTGGTCAAATGCATGATAGCTTCTCGCCTATTTTAAACCCCAGGTCAGAGTTTGATTCATTCGTAGAACATCACAGATGAGATATGGAGCTGTAGAGTGTATGGTCAGGGCAACACTGGTGCAAGCCTCCCGTCACAGAGATGGCATGTCAGGAGTTTGTCATCTCTAATTGCAGGCACGCTTCATCATTTGACTGTAACACACACACACACACGTTCATTTTAACACGCACCATTCTTTTATGTAGAATTAAATGTGCACCATGAACACAGCAACCCAAGTTCGATTACTAGTGATGTTTAACATCAGTGGCGAGTGATATATTAACCTGTCCTGGCCCCCCTTTACGAAACTCACATTGACCAGTGTGGTGAAGTATGGTCAACCTCCTATTACTGCCACAGAGTGGGTTAAGTCTTCATCCAGCAGTGGATAGATAACGTCTGTAAATTATTATTCTAAACATAATTATATAATTTACCTGATCGGGTGATGTTGGTAAACATTTAATTTACAATCAGCACACCATCATTCTTAAGTCAATAAAATAAATACAACTTTCTAGAGAGTCAACTACGGGCCATTCTCGGGTTTCGATCCCTGACATTGGAATGTGGAATGTACACCGGTGTCGAAGAGCAGCCACCCCAACGCCGCGCGTTTGAGTAGAGAGACTGTACCATGACAATATACAGCGTGCGTGGTCACAGGTGGTTAAATTCAGAGCTATAATCTTCGTTCTTTCGGTAAAGTCACGCTGAAGGGAAACAATAAAATAATAAAATATATAAAACAATACAATTCTCACGACGTTTCGATTACAACACAAGCAGTCATCATCAGGTGTGCAAACCAACGGCAAGAACATTTGAAAGAAGTGGTGGTTTGTATTTATTTATTTATTTTTAAACGTTCGCTCCACGGATAGCGATTTCACAGTTTGTTTAAATGGACGAGTCCATCTATGTTCGGAAAAGAGGAGGGGGGAGACGAAAAATTAATGTATGCTGTCTGAAAGCCACCGTAAGCGTGAACAATCAATTAAGACTCGAAATGGTTTATCAAATCCTTCCAATGATTGCTAAGCCAGAATCCATCTTCTCGGTTGAAATTGTCTCTGTGTTTGTATATGTGGATAGCCTCATGAACGAATCTCTCATGGTAGCCAGATGGCTTGCAAAGAACCTCTGTCTTGGAGAAGTCAATGTCATGTGAGCCTACTGAATTATAACAGTGATCTGCTACGACCGAGGTGTTGGTCTTACCGTGTTTAAGGTCTGCTTTGTGTTCACGAATGCGGTCCGAGACATGTCGTTTGGTTTCTCCAATGTAACTACTACCACAGAGGCAACTTAGTTTGTAGACACCAGGGTACTGTATGTCCGGAACCACATCTTTTACAGACAGAACCAGATCACGGGATTTTATGTAATGTGTTGAAACGGACCTGGGACTTGTGTTTCTTCAAGATTTTGATCCGTGATCTGGTTCCGTCTGTAAAAGATGTGATTCCGGATATACAGTACCCTGGTGTCTACAAACTAAGTTGCCTCTGTGGTAGTAGTTACATTGGAGAAACCAAACGACATGTCTCGGACCGCATTCGTGAACACAAAGCAGACCTTCAACACGGTAGGACCAACACCTCGGCCGTGGCAGATCACTGTTATAATTCAGTAGGCTCACATGACATTGACTTCTCCAAGACAGAGGTTATTTGCAAGCCATTTTCCTACCATGAGAGATTCGTTCATGAGGCTATCCACATATACAAACACAGAGACAATTTCAACCGAGAAGATGGATTCTGGCTTAGCAATCATTGGAAAGATTTGATAAACCATTTCAGGTCTTAATTGATTGTTCACGCTTACGGTGGCTTTCAGACAGCATACATTAATTTTTCGTCTCCCCCCTCCTCTTTTCCGAACATAGATGGACTCGTCCATCTAAACAAACTGTCAAATCGCTATCCGTGGTGCTAACGTTTAAAAATAAATAAATGAATACAAACCGCCACTTCTTTCAAATGTTCTTGCCGTTGGTTTTCACACCTGATGATGGCTGCTTGTGTTGCAGTCGAAACGTCGTGAGAATTTTATTGTTTTATATATATTTTATTATTTTATTGTTTCCCTTCAACGTGACTTTACCGAAAGAACCAAGAATATGAATCACTGCAGTCACGAAAGCTTTAAATCAAAATTTTACTTCAGAGCTGTTGCGATTGCCAGGGTATTAAGTTAATCAACAAGATCTTGTCAAACACCTATGACCCGCAACTGTATTGTAAAGACGTGCCGCTTTATGTTTTGCTATTACAATCACACACATCGCCGTTTGCTCCACTGTGAATAGGCCTTATTCACAGTTCAATGTCTCTTCTCACCAATAGCTCAGACAGATGAACGGACACCCACTTTTATTGACGGACAGGTTGTGGAGTGGTGGTTGATGCATTTTGTGCTATGAATACAGTGACCTAAGTTCGATTATTGGCTTTGGTTAACATTGGTGTGCGAGGGATGTCTGAACTGGTCTTTTTGGGTCTGAACTTCACTTATTCGGATTGACCAGCGTGGTGAAGTACGCTCAAATCTAAATTATCTGCAAGGCGTGGGGATGCCTTAATCCAGCAGTGGATTGGCACTTATGGGTTTATTATCATCATAATCGATTGACATTTGTACAGTATGCGGGAGTGATTGTGCAGTGTTTAGTGAACTATGAACCCAATGACAAGTTCGATTCGCCCCAATTGCTAACATTAATGGTGAATGACATCTGAACAGGTCCTCGACCCCATTTCCCACATCTGCACTGACCAGTAAAGTGAAGTATGTTAATACAGCAAACCACAATGATTGAGAAGAGCTGCGAAATTATATATAAATTTATTTGAATATCATCATCATCCATGATCGAGAGACTGCTGGAAGAAGGCCTTCCCAATACATCATCCCTCAGGGAGTCGTGATGCAACAGTATAGTTCCTGAAAATGAGGCGATCTCATTGCTCCGGCGCCATGCTAGACATAGTTTCAGGCATGTTCATTCATTTGACTGCCACTCTGTTCGTCTTAACCACCCAATCTGACGCGTCTAACTTGTTGGAGGGATACATTTGGAAAACACATCGGAGTATGTGTGGACCGGTTATTGAAGGCGGGCCACGATTTATATGATTACATAGAGGGGCAGAGGAGAACAGGGTGGAGTGCTTTTACAAAACTGAATTTAATAAAGAAAGGCAACAGAGCTATGTACCTAGAAAAAGGAAGCGTTGAATTTGTGTATGTTGCCTGCTATGACAAGCGAATAAAAAACAGACATCGACAACGTGAAACATGCTGAAAGGTGCAGAGTGAATCATGGGGAGGTACATGCTTGGAGTTATACTGAGAGACATTAGAGGAACACGTGGATTCGAGAACATACTCAAGTTAAACACATAAGTATAAAGAATAGTGAGTGCACTTGGACGGGACACATCGTGAAAAGGAATTATGGCTAGTGGTCGTGACTAATGAGCTAACGTGCCCGAGAGGAGGATGCTCACCACACATATGGAGCAACAAAATTGGCTCTTGTGCAGGCGCTAGATGACTGTTGCATCGGATGACCGTGAGATGGGGATGGCTTGAAGATTCCTTCATCCGGCAGTGAATAGATTATAGCTGATAATAATCATACAATATGTGAACGTATTGGCGACATTGGACCGTGGTGCACGGTATAAAAAAGCACATTTCGCAATCATTATTATTTCCCCGCGAGTCGCAACCAGGGTCAGAAAATATTGTGGGGTGGTGGGGCGTAAAAATCAGTTTTACGGATGTTGAAGCAGTCGGAAGACGAATGTTATTTCAAATGTTAATTTTATAACTGTTTTTATGAGAACCGGTGTGTTATGCTGCACCGGTGTACTGCCAATACATACGTTTTTGTGGGTCCAGTTGATGGAATGTGTCTTTCTTGCCATCGCAGCGAGAGAAGTTCCCAATGTTAGATATCCCTCACCACGTGCACCACACGATCGGCTCGGTGGTCATCGCCATCGGCTTCACAGGGATCATCGGCAACTTCCTCGTCATTTACGTCTTCTGCAGGTATGCGTCTTAGCATCTGGGGAGTCGTGGGGGTCGTGGGCGATAGGGTGGCAAAGTGGTAACGCTTGTTCTTCACAGAAAGAAGCCTTAATTCCATTCCCCACTCGTGTGCCTTTCTGTGTGTAGTTTGTGTGTTCTTCCCCTCTCTGCATGGGTTTTCTTCGGGTTCTCCAGGTTCCTCCTTAGCTAAACGAACACGATTGAACTGGTATTAGTAACGGAGTATAGTATAACCATGTATGCAGTGGCAGCTGCTCTGTTTTCTAGCATTGGGGGCATACCCCACTTGAACATTTCATTTCATTGAATTTTTTAAAGTCACAGCCAGAGGAATGAAGGAAGGTCTTGAGCCTAGAATTTTACCAGGGCCAGGGATGAGAGGGAAGAGGTAGGCAGGGCTAATCCATAGGTGATCTTGAACATGACGAAGGGTAACTTAGAAATTTAATTTGAGTGGATTGAGAGCCAGTCGTGGGCTCGGAGTATTGAGACGATGCGGTAATGATTTTCACGTGTGGGTGAGAATCCTGGCAGTAGCATTTTTATCATCCGGAATTTAGAGGTGAAAGGTTTTTTTAATGTTTGCACAGCAGACAACTTTAGTGCTGAGTTGAGATGTGATGGAGGCATGGGTGTGAGGGTCTAACCAGCAGCTGGGGCAAGGAAGTGGCAGGTGTAGATATTGCGCAGATGCAAGTAGGAGGTCCTGTAAGGTTGAGGTATACTGGAAGAGAACGAGAACCCAGGATCAATGATGGCTCAAGGGTTTAACACATTCAGTTTCACGGCATAGTTTGGGATTTTGATGGAGTAATATGCTGCCCTGGTGTATAGACTGCTAATTACGCTCATATCCAGAATAGAGAAGATAACTTACTGAGTTGGTGGTGGATATTCCATGTTCATATGGCAAGGACCAGTATATCTCAATGAAATTGTATAAGAACCACTTATCTACCAGTGAGTGGTTTAGCATGGTTAGCGGGTGCTCGTTCTTATAAATTTAGGAGTAACAAGGATCGAATTAATAGATAATTATGATGAGGATGATTATATGAAATAATAAATGATACATTCATAAATTTTTGGTAACAATTGAATAGCTTTATACATAATTAAGTATTCAATTGGAAATAAATTATGATAATGGATACAATTATTATGTTGACAATAGTGATGATGATGAATTATGAAATAGTTGATTCAATCATGGTCGGCAAATGAACCCACTACCCCTTGCTGAGTCCGTTGAGATGTGTCCCGGCCATTTCATGCTCCCTGGGAAAAGTCACCAAGCACTAGAGTCTTTTTATCGCACAGCACATATGCTCGTTTCCTCGTGAACACGTTTTCCACGAGTCTTATGAAGAGGAGGAGCACTTATTTGCGTCTCTGTGGATTCCCACACTATAGAAATGGAATGAAATGTCATCGATTAAAAAAGGTCAGTGCCATCAAAGGTGTTAAAATGAGTGATTGTGTATATTGCCCATGGGTCTCAAATGCATTTGCACTATCCCTGCAGAGCAGCAAGCTTCACGTCTCTACAGAAGGTGCTGCAGAACTTAAAAAAAACGTGCGCCTTTATCAAGATTATTTGTTGTTTTCTCTGAAAAAAAGCATTGGAATTTCCACCGCTGAGTGCCCAGATGAAAGGCATTGAAAGATAAATTAAGAGCGTACTTAAGGGTGTAGTGGTTCACATGAGTTATGCTAGGTGCACGGGCAGAGTAATCATTGATTTAATATAAATGTATTTTGCTCCCACGTGCTATATTATAACGTTTAAATCTCACAAATGACTAATTTAAGAGTTTTATATATTAGATTTGTTCGCCTAATTTAACTTAAAGGTGACTTGTTACAGACATTGGACTTACTAATGACTTATAAAGCATGACACTAGATGCATTTCTTCGTTTTGCAAGGTGAAATTACCAAAAGGATGTGTGTCTAGTGATGTTATTGAGCCATTTAATAGTCCCTGTGGAGGCTTGCTGGATGTCGGTAATATTGCTCACGAATCGGCAGTATAGGCAGTGCTGGATCATGTGATCGATAGTCTGGCTGTGGTGACATTTATGAAGGCGGTGCATCACATCTACTGTGCCTGCTCTACCAGCGATTCAGGGCTGACTACTTCCCTGGGTAGGATTCGAACCCTGGGAGTTAGTTTTGGGGCCAGTAACGAGCTCCTTATTCACGATGGTGTTATTGCACGAAGATTCCTGGCACTGTTCTTCCGGGGTGGAAGGAACTCGCGTTGAGGACTTTGGCCCTCAATGCGAGCTCTAACATGCCCTGTGAAAGAGTGATTATAATCAAGAGTGATTATAATCACTCTTTCACAGCCCTGATTAAAATTGGCCCTCATATATAAACACATTGGAATTAATATTGATACTGCAGCTCATGTGCACCTGAGTATGCTGGTTTTGTTTTCAGTTTGCTTTAATATTTTTCTACTTTGCCTCTTGTTCCTTTTTAGATTTTTATAAAATAGGTGGGAGGAGTGCGGTGGTGGCAGTGGTTAGTAAACTGAGTTAGGCACTTTGATACCTGGGTTATATTTATGGTCACGGCTGACATCAGTGGTGATACCTGAACCGGTCCCGAGGCCCCCTCCCCCCCTTTACCAGCCCACCGTGACCAGAGTGAAGTATGGTCAAACACCCCCATGACCGAAAAGGTGTGGAAAGGGCTTCATGCAGCAGTGTATTGACAAGCACATTTTATTTTACAAATATGATGATGGTGTGTGGCATGGTATGAGGATGGTAGATTGCCAATCATCAATATAATAAATTGTAATTTCACAATGCAGGCAACTATAGCAACTTCCCATCTATTATAATTTTTGACGGATGGCTTTAGGTGGCCATGTTTCTCGAATGGCGCATGTTGTATCAGACCTGTGATTCTTTTTCTATATGTGTGGAATCTTATAGCTTTTACCAATAGCTTTTTCAATTGTTAAAGTACAATTCATATATAGTTATTGGGAAATGTATTACTTTTGAATGATTGATTTTTAAGATTGTTTTGTTTAGTTTTCTGCAGTCTTCTTTATATTGTTTTTTGCACCCTTGCAAAAGAGATTATCTGGATATACCGTTCAGGAATGTATTAATAATAGATAATGATGATAATGATGATGTCATTGTTAAAATATCTATAATGTCATCACAAGAGTGTGCTTGGATAATTGCTCAAATTTTATATTTTTATAGTTAGGCAGATTACAATAACAATAACCGCAGCAGTCGTAATAGTTTATATTTGCTCTTAGTCAATAGGTACTGCATCTCTCATCGACGCTGTCGCATAGTTAAGGTAAAGAACGTTCAATCAAGTTAGTCCTACATGTGCCACCTACACTCACGTGCGTGTGACCGGTGTGTTCAGGAGCAAGAGTTTGCGCTCGCCGGCCAACATTTTTATCATCAACCTGGCCTTCGCCGACTTCTTCATGTCCATCACACAGACACCCATCTTCTTCGTCACGAGTCTTCACAAGCGCTGGATTTTCGGGGAGAAGGGTGGGTGACGCAAACTATGCAGAGTGAGCAGCATCGGTGTGCGAGTGCGTGTAAATGCTAATCGGAGGTGCGAATGTGTGTGTGCATTACTGAGTGGGGAACGGTAGTGTATTAGTAAGCATTCTCCGCTATGAACCAGGTGACCTGAGTCCGATTCCTGATGACGGCTAACACCAGTGATGATTATATGAATCATACATGGGCCTCCCTTAGGTCGACTCTGTCTCAAATGAGTACCTGGTGCACTGTGCAAATATTGCCACTAGTGAGACAAAGACAGCCGGGCATGGTGCTGACCACCCATCCCCTTGTATGCCATACCAGCCTTCATAGATGCTCATGAACAGCATTTTTCCCAGAAGTCTATTAAGGCTATATAGGGGATCTTTGTCTTTGAGTGTATTGTGGCAAACAACCCTCACCTCCTCGGTAGTTGCCAGTTGGTAACACTGTTGTGATGTGAACAATTCCATTGGATGGAAGATTTATAGTGTTCGCAGCTGCCACAGTAGCGAGATGCGTGCCAGGGACTGGTAATCCCTCCGCCTTCAATTAAACTACCAAAAAATACAGAAAGGATCAAACTAAGCTTGTGCCGAAGGTCCCGGGGGCACGGGCATCTGTGACATCTCCTGGCCAAACCCCTTTTGATGGGGCCAGGAGACTTAACCCCCCCCCCCCCCCTCCAGGTTTCTCCAGAAATGGCAGGAAACCACTGGGGTTGGTCACGTGGGATGTTGAAACACTCACTAGGGACGAGAGGCTATCATTCTTCTGTCAGGAGTTAGACTGGTATTGCCTCGACCTCTGCGGAATACACCCCGTATGGTGAATGGCTTCAGTCACGATGAGGGGTGGACAGTCTTCCACTCAGGGAGTGTCTCTTTTTCTGAACACAACAATGAAGAGGGCATGGGAGCTTGGCAGTGAGGTGGTTGAAGCTGCGAGTCTCAGGCTACTGTGGGCTCACTTCCTCATCAATGAGAAAAGAGAAATGGTGGTGGTGGCTAACGCCCCCACCGAAGATGAACATCAGTGGAGGGATGAAGGCAAGGCTGATAAGTCGGATGCCTATTATGATCTCCTGTCCCAGGTGTTAGTGGCTTCAGGATAGAGTCATCCTGTTGAGGGACTTTCATTCCCAAGTGGGTCATGATGCATGTATGGTGGTGTATTCACAAGGACACTTTTAGATTTTCACCTGTGTCACTTTATTACTTCACATCCCGTATGGATGCTCCTCACACTAACACAACACACCCTTGCTCCGAACTCCCTCTCTCTATAATCTGCTAGCCTGTCACTTAATACTCCGCTAGCCTGTCACTTAATACTCCACTAGCCTGTCACGTAATACTCTGCTAGCCTATCACTCTTCTCTCACACCTCCACCTCGTTCTTGCCTCCAGTGGCGGATCAGCCAACACCGCTGGGGAGGACGAGGTGTAGAGGGCGAGGTTCCAGGCTTCTTCTCCCCGGCTCTTGTCCTCTTCATTCCTTCAGCTTCAACCAACTACCCCGTGTTGCTCCGCACACACCCTTATATGCCCCTCCTCATTAAGGGTGCTCAGTTACCCCCCATTAAGCTGGCACCTCAGCGGCGCCTCCTGCACGTGCTCTCTCTAATCATCTCCATCACCCGCATCTCTGGTGTCTACTCCGTGTTCCCACGCTCGCACCTGCCTGTCCCCAAACACACCCGGTTAATTACTGCTTCTCCCCCTAATTGCTGCCGCCCCTCTGACGGCTACTCCATGTCTTCACCCTTGCACCTGCTCACCCTCAAATGCACCCGCTGTTTGCATTATGCATCAAGATGTGGCGGTACAAATCTTTTGAGGTGTGACGGGTGTACGAACCAATGACGTCGTCCGACTTGAATGCGAACACACTAGGGTCGTCGAACATCTACGACCTCAACGGGACCTTGCCACTGGCAATGCAGCTTGGGCAACGTGTCCATGGGCACCTGAGGGCAATGAAGCCATGCCCTGTTTCCTAACCTCCATGGGTCACGTGGCGGTTGTATATCTTGCAGCCGTTCATTGGCCACCTGCCGCTGGGCCGAGTTATTTATGGTGGCCTCTTGAGCCTCCCTCAACCAGTCGAGGGTCACATGCATGGGAACCGGCACAGTGGATGCCTTGCCCAGTGGACGCATGTCCAATTGTATCAATGTGTGGGTTCGGGTTCCCTACCATACTTTAAATAAAAGGGTGAAAACCCCGTCGAGGCGTGGGGTGCCAGCCTATAGGCGGCAAGGACGTCCGGGATGTACAAGTCCCAATTGGACTCAGCCATGTTTACCTGCTAATACAACATGGATGTCAAGGTCCGGTGTAATTGTTCAACCATTTCGTCCATATGTGGGTGGTAGGGGGAAGTCTGAATCTTTTTGATGCCCAGGGAGTCACACACCTCCTTCAGTAGCTTGGAGGAAAAAAAATATACCCTGGTCAGTGAGCAGATTTTCTGGGGGACCTTCATTAAGCACATATCCCTGCAGAAAAGCCTCAGTTATGGACGCCGCTGATTTGTCAGACAAAGGCGATGCCATTGGCCATCGGGTGAGTTACTCAACTCTGATTAGAAAATCTAGATCTGAAGTTTTCATGACTGCAGGGATCCATACTCTTTGGTTCTTTCGGTAAAGTCACGTAGGTATAAAATAAAATAAATTAAATCATGACGTTTCGGAAGCAACACAACCGTCCATCATCAGGTGGAACAGCCAAAGCAAGAAACAAATTGCTGTAGTGGGCAAAAGAGCTGCTTGTGACAAGAGGCTATATAAGGCAAGAGAGGGAGGAGGAGCCAGGGACGAGAGATAGAGAGGGTGGGGGTGTGGGGGGAGAATTGGAACACGTACACCAGGCCCTTAAGATGAATGGATATTCGGACTGCATTATCCGCAAAGCTGTTTCTCCAACCATGGAGAAACAACCCTCTGAGACGCCGATCAAAACCATCACGTTACCATACATAGCTGGCGTTACCAAAAAGATTTCCAAAATCTTAAACAAACACAAGATCCAGGTCCGATTTAGTACAGTACAAACAATCCATGATCTTATCCCATCCGTGAAGGATGTTATTCCTGACATGCAATACCCTGGAGTCTACGAACTAAGTTGCACTTGTGGTAATTGTTACATTGGGGAAAGGAAATTACATACTGTATATTGGACCATATTCGCGAACACAAGGCAGATTTGAAACACGGCAGAACTAACTCCTCCTCCGTGGCAGACCCCTGCTATAACGCTGTGGGCTCTCATGATATTGTTTTTTCCGAGACCAAGGTGCTCTGCAAACCGTCAGGCTACTATCAAAGGTTTGTTCATGAAGCCATCCAGATATATTCACATAGACATAACTTCAACCGAGAAGATGGATACAAATTGAGCAATCATTGGAAGGATGTTATTAACCAGGTAAAACCTTAACTGCTTTATAGTTTGACTTCATATCCACATCTCCAATTTCTTCAGCCTTCTACCCCCCAGGCCCGCTCAATGCCCAGCTCTGGCATTGTGTCGTACTTGCGGTGCAAGTTGCAGCGTTTTTGTGGCACAAGTTGCAGAGCTCCACTCCCCCTACCCCACACCCCCACCCTCTCTATCTCTCCTCCCTGGATCCTCCCTCCTCTCTTGCCTTATATAGCCTCTTGTCACAAGCAGCTCTTTTGCCCACTATAGCAATTTTTTTCTTGCTGTGGCTGTTCCACCTGATGATGAACGCTTGTGTTGCTTCTGAAACATTGTGATTTAATTTATTTTATACCTACGTAACTTTACTGAAAGAACCAAATAGTATCTGACTAGCAAATATTTGTGACCTCTCTGGGTAACGGGAAATGGTCCCAAAATGTCCAATGCCACCAATTCGTTCACACGAAACACTGTTCTGGATTGCAGCGGCACCCTGTGCTGTTGTGCGGATGACTTCCGATGCGCACACTCTGGACAAGCTTTAATGAAGAGATACACATTGTTGTCCATCCCTGGCCAATAGAAATCCATCTTTAAGGTCGAGAGTGTTTTCTTGACACCCAAATGTATACAATTTTCGTGCACCGCGTGCATAAGTCTCCCTCGTAGGCTCGTGAGAACCACTAGACAAAACCGTTGAAGCTCTATATCCCATCGTAGGAGGAGCCCCTCACTGAGCTGCAGAAAAGTGCACCCCGCAGCACTCGGTTGTCGGGAAGCCCGGCACCTCAAATTCAGCAGGGAGGCATCCTCAACCTGGAGCCATCCCCACTCGCTGTGGTTCAGGCCTAATATGCGGTCGGCCAGTGCTTGCACATTGCTGGCCGGGACCGAGTCAACTGCGGCGACCATCTCGGGCGATTTCTGCAATGGCGGTCCGCACCGAACTGAGCCCATCACGCACTTGCATTAGCCGGGCGGCGGCAGCCGGGACAATGCATCTGCATTCACATGGCGCGACCCTTTCTTATATACAGTACAGTAAAGGATAATCCCTGGAGGATTTCAATCCAACGGGACATTTGACTGGGGGGTTGGTCCACACGCAGGGAGTACTGGAGTGCTGCGTGGTCGGTACGGACAAGGAAGTCCCTGCCGTACAAGTAAGGGCAGTACAATTGTATGAAATGGACCATGGCAAGCAGCTCCCTGCGTGTGACGCAATACTGCTGCTCAGTGGGAGACAAAACGTGGCTGCCGTATGCCACGACTCTCTACTCCGTCGACGACCTGGGAAAAGACAGCGCCTATGCCCGTATCACTGGCATCAGTAGCCAGGATAAAGGGTTTGGCGAAATCTGGATAAATGAGCGGTGGCGCACTGGCTACAAAGTCACAAAGCGCTGCAAAAGAATAATTTTCCACCTTGTCCCAATTCAATCTCTGTCCCTTAACTGATAGAGCATGGAGCGGTTTGACAATTGTCACAAAATCCTTTACAAACCGATTTGGGGTCGGCCACGTACGCATGCAGGCTGTCTTATCCGGGTTGGTAGCGACCCCTGATGC